AGTCTTACCGCGGGGGACTTGAATATTTCTCCATGAAAACTAAGCATTATATTTAAAAAAAAACTTTAAAATTTTAAACTTAAGTGACATATAGTTTAATAAAAATATAATTTATCACTCAACTCAGTCACAGCTGACAGGCTTGCCTAACACTATTGTCGCAGTACCACCCACTACCGATTTACTGATCGCCCTCATGGGACTAGCACACATCTACCAATAATACTGTAAAGCCTTTTCAAAATCTCAGCGTTAAATTGTATTATATATAAATATAATATATGATAGCATCAGTTCTTTTATTATCTTACTTAATTTTATTGACATTAAATTGATAAGTTAGCTCCCAATAGCGGTCCCATAGAAACTGGCTAATAAACTAATCTATAATTACAGTTAAAAGCAGCTCATTTATAAATCTTTTTTTTTCAAATTAGGTTTTAGATAAGAAATAAGAATTTATTTTTATATTGTTATTAATTACGGTTGTATTTATATTATCATTAATTTTCTCAAAAAATGGTATATTTCTTTATAATATAAAGATAAAGTTTATATACATATATAATATGTACCTATACAAACATATACATATAAATTTGTATGGCAATATTATAAAATTCGAATATTTTAATAAGTTTAATTATATTGATTTAATATAACATTTTGTACAATACTAGCAACTCACCCTCGCTTTGCTCGGGTTTCGTCCCTGGGTTGATTCCCCATACAAATTTTCATCCCCATTTTCACCCCCCTAAGGAATGATTTCCAGGATAAAAAGTCCTATGTCTTTCCCAGGGTCTCAAACTATCTTCTTACCAAATTTCATCTAAATCGGTTCAGTAGATCCAGAGATTACCCCCTACACTGTCACAAACTCATAAACTTACAATTCACAAGTGAACTTTATTACTTAAATATAATATATAATACTCAATATATTTAATATTTAGAAGAAAAGTAAATAAGAGCAAAGTAAAAAACAACTGTCCCATATTTAGATACTGAACCTGCAATATGAATTTAGTATCAGCCAGTTACACTTAGCACTGACACAAACTATTACCCATTACTACACGTACCTACCCCCAGTGTGCCCGGTGGTCAAAGAACACAAATTATAATTTTTTGGCACTTCTAGAAGCCACGAAACTAAAGAATTAAATTGAATTATTTTTATTGATAACACACTTCTAAATAAACAAAAATAAAAAAATAAAATCGGTTGATAAAAAGAGGTGAAAAAAACTGTTTTGTCTTTGCTTATTTATATGTACATAGATAAATACACTTAGCAATTTAAAGAGGCTTGTAATAAAATGTTTACTTATTATACACGTACTTTCAGTTCGATTCCCGGTTAAAATGAAAACGTCTCGAGCTATGATGGATGATTAATGATCGGTTGTAGTGAGAGCCGTGAATTTGTGCGATTGTTAGTGATTGTGTTGTGGTCCCGGAACGGTTGGTGGCTGTTGCCTTAAGTTGAGAAAAGCAGCGATTACATATTTATATGAGAACTCAGAAGGTGTATGTAAAGGAGTTGTTACTGTTTGTATGTTACCCAAATATATTAGTAACTATAGCATGTATTTTTTACTTTTGAGTAAATAAACTAAATATGTAAAAATTAATATTTGAATACACACATTTATACTTTTTACTTTTATCTCCCTTTTGTGTGCGTGTAGTTTATGTAATAATTGTATCAAATTAAATTTACAGTATTTTTAAAAGCTAATACAGAGATGGTAACAATCAATTTTATGTTTACTATGTACATATATACGAATTCCCTTTTCTATTACGGACTAATTTTCTTTCTCAATTTGTTTATTTTCAGTTAGGTTTAAATTAAATTATTAAAGTTTCCATAAATTCTATTTTATATTTTAATAAAATTTATTTTTGTATTTTAAATGTTACTTAACAAACTGCAACATAAACTTTTAATAGGGTTTTGATCTCTTAATTTAATAAATATCGTTAATCGCTCCTTCTCCCGCTACCGCCTATGATTCGCACCACACAGTGATAGATGGGTCTAGGATGAATTTTAACACATTGCATTTTTCAATGGTCGCGAATCGAATGCATTGTAGGTAACTGTAAGCTATTGACACGTTAGATTGTTCGTAGAAAGAAAGGATTTCTATAAAAAATTGTTTCGATAAACAAAAAATATAATGTTTTAAACAAAACAGAATGTGAGAGAATTTTTGAATGAAGGTTTAAAAATTGCTTTCTTTTTATTTGAGTAATCAGCAATCATAAATAATTTGACAATTATAATCAATATTTAATAAATATGGTAAATTAAAATGACTTACCGCTTTGCTTGGAACGTCCTCGGTGCGATACAGTAGCCTATATATTATGTATATGTTACTCCAGGTATAGTCTATCTCATCCCCAACGTGCGTTCACCTTGTCATTGGGGGAGTCATTAGTGTCCGGCAATCCAGCCGGGTGGGCGGTGTGCCAAGCGGGTTTCTCCTATCTCTCTTTCTCTGATAGCAGAGTGGACCGTTGGAGCAACCTCATGGCTGTTGTGGTTTGCTTCGACAACCTACCGTCGGGGCGTCTTGGTTGAGCGCGTAAGCGATCTGGCGACGCCCCATTCACATTAAGGCGCAGGAGTTTTCTTTGGGTTTTTGGGTTGTACAGACTTTTCTAGCCGGTGAGTACCACATAATCACCTGTATGTATACAGGTGGTAACATTAAAAAGAAAAAGTCATGGTCTATCTGTGTAGGTACTTATCTATACTCCAAGTACATAACCAAGTTCTATTTTTATTCCAAAATCAAATATTGTAATCATTCTCTAATATCTGCGCTTTGAGTGTGTTTTACTACAGAAGAAGGCACAATCCTACATAATAACATCTCTTGCAAAGTCTCTTCTTATAACTGAAAATTATTTATATTTCCATTGACGCGATTGTACCATTTGTATCAAAATCATAGGTAATTACATAAGTAAGTAAAAAGACATGCTAATTAGTTATATTGATTTCGCAAATGTTATAAGTTTTATATTAAATAATAGTTATTGCAAATGTTCTATAAAGGATAATATAATAAAATTCTGTATGATTCAGTCATATTATTTCTTAATAAATATTTATTTTTATAATACACTAGTTTTCGTCTCCAGCTCTGCTCGCGTTGTAGGTACTTTAATAAAAAATATTCTACATCAATAAGGGAGAGATTGTCCAAAAACATTTAAGAATTGTACCACCACTCCCGAGATTATTCACTACATATTGTACATATTGTGTATTATAAATAAACAAAACCTAATTTTAATCGTTTTTCATAATATTATATAACAAAATAAATCTATTTTATACCTTTTTGAATAGACATAAAACACTTCCCAAATGCCCTCATAAGTTGTTTAATCTTACTGTCTTATCCGCACTGAAACGGCTTACTTGTAGAAACCTCAAGAATTTAACCGTTTATGTTTTTACAACGTTTTGTTAATTGAATATTATTTCGAGTTATTTAAGTAACGGCATAGAGATCGCAGAAATAAAAGCCTATGAGAGGATTTTCTGGAAACCGATATCTCATTGTATTTATATGAGTAATCTTAAGTAGACTAAAAACAAGGCTCGTACTATTAAGGTACAGCAAAATTTAAGTCTGTGGACTATATCATAATTATAATAATCTATAATAAATACATAAATATAACTTTTGAGTTAAAATAAAATATACTAATATTCGTCCAGTAGTTGAAATTCGACAATAATCAACATGTGAAGAAAACATACTAATAAAATTTACCAATCTACAAAAAAAGCTACAAAAAAAAAAGAAAAGAAAATCGGTTAACAATCAGAGGAGAAATAGTTACTGAACGGTTTTGTCTTTGCCTATTTATTTATAGAAGATTATTGTTTAAAATGATTAGGTCAGTTTATATCCGTTACTGAAAATATTTATAGTTAATTTTAAAAACCAGAAAGTTTAAATTATAAAAATATCATATAATCTAATTTAAAACTTTATTGATAGTGATAAGTCACAGATACACAAGAAATCGCAAATTTTATTAAATTATTGCAGTTTAAAACTCTATTTAAAAAAAACAGTTGTCAAACATTTTTATTTACTGTATGTATGTATTGTTAGCAATAATTATTATGAAATGTTAAGGTGAGCTTAAATAAAATTGATAAAGTTTTTTTTTTCATTATATACAAATAACGTACTTAATGATATAAATTTGACGTTTTAAATAAATTGGTGAAGAAGTTCGGAAAGTTTCCGTCGCTCTAACAATGTAGAGCGCAGAGCGACGGCTTGTAATGAAATGTTAAGTTATTTAGAATATATTTGTTCTTTAATAGTATTTGTTGGATATTGCAAAATAAAAAGTGTAATTTAAAATTATCCTTATATGTTATAAAATAATTTAATTCAATTTATTAATTTTTAAATGCTCTAAAACCATGAAACCTTTCATTTTAAGCGGATTTTATTATGACAAGTTGAAGATTTGAAATTTTAAATTTTGTTTACTATAATTTTAAATGTCTTGCCAAAGGTATTAAATATATGTAATGAAAATAGATTATTATTTTTTATAGTTGTAATATTATGTAAAATATGATAAAAATAATTATTGGTCACTGAGAAAGTTAAAAGATAAAAATTAAAGAATATTTTAATCCTTTTGTATGCAAATTTCATTAATTTGTGATATTTTTTATATTTTTGAAAGTACAAGTTTCATTGACCAGGAGAGATAATAAAAGATTACATTAAGGTGACATATTTTGTTTATTCATTACATCTTTCTTAAACCTAATCAATAAATATACATTTTGTAATCTATTTACATTAAATACAATAGCGGAATGCTACAGGATCAACAACGTATTGCAACTATTACTAGACACTGGAACTAATACTAAATCACAGATCGTTCGCACTCTCGCGAGTGTCAGCCTCTTCGAGATTTCTATACACTTAAAGTCATTGTCGCGTTAACACCGTCACGGGTTTGTAAATATGTGGGGTGAGGGGGTGGTGGGATGGCGATGGGAGCTCAGGACTTGAGGCTCCCGAAGTCGGGGGAGAATGAGCCATCATCGGAGGAGAAGGTGGCATCAGCGACGACTGTGATAACATTGATGTTTGTCCCAATGAGTTCTGCAGTAGCGAAGATTGTCCCAGAAATTGGGCACTTGGAAGTCTATCCGAGTATAACGCCGGAGAGTAGGACAAGCTTCCGTAGCTCATTTCCCCTCTAAACGCTGGATGGACAGCACTCGGAGCAACCGGTGGAGTTTTCATTTGCATCGGCGCGTATCTTTGATATAATAATTGTGAGTAAAGTCCTACTAGTTGAGAATACGTTGCTGGTGGGTAGGGCCCGGTTATGGGTGCGCCGGGGAACAGTGGACGCTTGAAGCAAGCGAGACGAGAGCGGCCGTTGAGAGCTGAACGTCTCCTTAACTTGCCTGTAGTACCGCCAATGAAGACGTCTTCTGCTGACGCATCCAACATCCAGTAGTTTCCTTTCCCGGGGTCGTCGTAGTGACGCGGCACTTTCACAAAACACTTGTTGAGACTGAGGTTGTGGCGGATAGAGTTTTGCCAGCCTTGCCTGTTCTCTCTGTAGTATGGGAAGTTGGTCATAATGTACTCGTAGATACCGTTCAACGTTAGCCGTTTTTCAGGACTGTTGCGGATCGCCATCATGATAAGAGCATTGTAGCTGTACGCTGGTTTTTCGTGTTTTTTGTCTTTCTTCTCTTCATCTCCTTTAGGCTTAGTGCAGTCGACGGGCTCGGTTCCCGTGACATCGAGCTCGGAGTCGCTCAAGTCGGCCTCCGATGGGGTGGCCGTTGACGATGCAGTGGGCGATGGCGGTGATTTCGCAACCGCATGATTCATCAGTATAGCATTTATGCTAAAATCTCCTTCGAACTTCACCATATTGAAACACTTGTAAGCACTGTAGTAACTAATAGCGCGCTGCGTGTGCGCTAACACTGCGAGCGGCGAGTGGACTGGCGGGCGCGGAGGCGGGCGTAGCTATTTATACCGCGCGCGATCGTCGCCGCCCCGGCAGCTTTTGGTCCTCTCGTTGACCAATCACGGTGCGAGCTTTTCGATACATAAAGTGACGCCCCTCTTCCCGAGCACCCCCTGCGCACGCCGCACACCCCCCGCGAGGCCCCGCGACCCTCACTCGTCGTGTTGCATTCAATGACTCAACTCTCTTACATTTTATTTTAACTGCACTTCTTAAGTTTTATTTATCGTAATACGTCTTTTGGAAATCGTTTTATTTGCACAATTATCGATCGATTGTGTAAAGTGATTCATAGCTTCATTAGAGTGTTTGCAATTAAGGAGTTCGGGCATCAATTAACATTCTACATTTGGTTTTTAATGAGTATTGTATAATAAGCACTACGATGGGTTGTACGTATAGATACAAATAAGATTCAATGTCCTCTCCCAAAGTACTACTTGGTGTTAATTGATTATCGTTAGCGATAATGTGTTTCAATGTAAACAGGTGTTTTAGCGACCATAATAATCATTGTTATCCATACATATATTTTTAAATACTCTATTTATTCTAACGACTTATTATTATCATACGGCAGGCATTCGTAGACTGATATACATATAATGTAGCATTGTTTTTCTTAATATACTGTACAATATATTACATCTGTACAACATATAATAAAATTATAACTTCGTTGAATCTGTACATTAAATATTTTTTGGAAGACCTTATTCAAATAGTCATTATTATCGATATAGAGGCCGAATCTATAATTTTTATAATTTTTGTCTGTCTGTCTGCCTGAGAACGCATCATGAGAAAACCACTGGACAGATTTTAATGAAATTTGGTATGGTGATCCGGGTCAACATATAGGACACTTTTTACTGCGGGAAAATATCTCATCTCAGAAAAATCTATACTAACCGTTAACATTACTATTGTCATTTTATAAATTATACTGCAAATACTTATTTTAATGTTCAAATATTTGTGCATGTAAACATGATTGGTATATTTATAAAATTATACGTATGATGCAATTTCTATTGGTGGATAGATAAGATAAGTGAGAATCTATTATTTATATCGGTTATCTCCGAATAGCGGCCTTGGCGGCGGCGGGCGTGATGTTTACGTGTCGTCGTCAGCAGCGGCTTTGCATGTAAACATCGTTTGTTGAGGATAATGCTATGTTTAAATATAATCATTGGGAGTTTGATAAACTTTTTTGATTTTTATCTTTATTTTATTATTGTTTAATCTTTATATAATATTATGAAATATGGATATGTACTAAGTATAATTAATGTTGTACTTACTAGCTCTATAAAACAAATAAGGAATTTAGCAAACTGAAAAATCACTCTGTCCTATATGGCGTCAACAAAAATATATATAAATGATAGTTTTCAAAAGAAAAATATTTATTTCGTATAGTACAAGTATTATTATCTTATTATATTAAATGAGCAATTCTTGTAGGTACATATGTATATATGTAAATTTTTTTCGTGTATCTTGAAATGGCTCTAACGATTTTGATCAAATTTTGTTTTAAGGTAAGGTTTTGTTTTTTAAGTTTATCTATATAGGTGTATTTTATGAAAAGACGCAATTTTTATATCTTTAATAGTTAAAGTCTAAGAATGTAAAGTAAAAGTACACGTGGATGAATTTTATTTTGTTATTTAGGTACCTATGCCATAGATTTACATGACTAAATAAAAAAAATAGATAAAAATCGATTACCATTTGGCGAAGATGTAGCGTAACATACACGCAAAAAAAACAAATGAATTGAGGTACCTAGGTATGTACCTCCCCTTTTTTGAAATCGGTCAAAAATACATTGTTGACAAGCTGGAGCTAGTTTCACCGAACCTACCGACTTTTATAAATAGCATTTAAAAAGTATGAGTTTATTTAAATATTCGCTGATACATATTTATATACCTACCGATGTTATAAAAAAACTGAACTAGGTATACTAGCGATTTACTTGCAAGTCTAGGTGCCTTTTAGTGTATAATGTAAATCAAATCATTGTATATATTATATGTACTAAATTCTATCCAAATCCGTCTAGTCGTATCAGTCCGAATAAGTAACAACACACTGTACCTACCTATACCTCTGTGTAACCTTCGCATTTACAATAGCAGTCCGATTATATGTATTTATTGTATTTCACGTAAACTATCTATCTACTTACAAAGCCATTTCAGTTTCGTTATCAAAATATTTTTGGCAAATTATTTCGCAATGTTTGAACACCTGTATTAATATTTAGGTACGAGCAAATACAAATTTAGGTAAAATTTTCAATGTCTCACTTACACGTGTCTGTCCGATCAATGCTACATACATACAGGTACCTACATGGTAACAGAAACAATTGTTTTGAATTTTAAATTAAACTATTTTTTGCGGATTTATAGCTGTTAGTTCAGGGCCATTTTTCTTTTATTCCAAATTATTATTTAATTTCTTTGGTAGTCATCGTCTGTTATAACTATGACTTTTAAGACGTCAAAAATCTAAGGGTGACCATATTTGCTACAACGTTTTCTACAAAAAAATCAAAATAATTATATATATATATATATATATATATATATATATATATATATATATATATATATATATATATATATATATATATTCAAGTTTTTTTTTATTTTACTACACGGTATTTGTATGTGATCGTATATAATATATCTAACTAAGACCAGTAGAAAACGAATTATATAATGGGATTTGAAAAGTATTCCTCATATTTTTATTAGGTTTCTATTGGCGATATCGATTGTAGAGTATACACTCTATAATGTATGGGATAAGTATACACTTATCCCCCTTAGATAAAACAGGTTATTTATACTAGAAGGTACATATAATAACATTCTTTTTATATGCTTACAATAGAAAGTTACATATACCAGATACTATTTGCAGTCTATAAGTATTTTAAACTATAGCACATTAATGTGCATAAGCAGTATGATGATAATATGATGAGTCAATGCAGATGATACTCGACCCGCGGCCCCACCTTTAATTCCGGCCGATGTTTGTGACCCGCACCTTAAGTAAGGTTAAATAATTGAGCGGACGCCTTGGACGCGAGTAGTGATGTGACCGCTGTATATCTGTGACACTGTGCTACACTGAATCTTAGTTAAAAATAGAAATAATAAATCTAGATTAGTTAATAAAATAAAAGCTATATTGTCTATACTATGATGAGTTTGTTTCGTGCTACTTTTTTAATTGGTCTCTATATCGACAGTAGATGTGTAAAGTTAGTAATCTCGTCAACCTAATGTTACCTTTAAAATAAATTTTAATTGCGATAATGTGTTGTCGACTCGTAGGTAGGATTGACATAATTTATATATACAAATTGTATGTTAGAGAAAATGATCTAAAGAGTGGAGAGAGCGAGGCAATGGCTAGAGCCTAGGGCCTAGGTATATATCAAAACCTAGGTATATAACGTGCCTGCAGTTCGCGGGCAGTTCACTAATAAGAGACATTTTTATATGGTAATTTTGTCAATGTAAATCTGTTAAATCTCACATCACTATATAACGTACAGAACAGTGCTGAGAAATTGAATTACGAGTGGCGCGGGCGGGTCGCGCGTGGGCGCTGATATGTTCAGTGCAATGGAGCGGCGCTACCATGATAACTAGATTGGAAATAAAACTCATACACACAAATATCTTATTAAAATGTCTGTCCGTTCAAACTACCTAGTTTCATTCTGCAAACAATATGGAAACAAAAACCATTGATATTTGCCATTCTCTGTAGTGCAAATATGTTCAGTGAGCAGATTGTATTAGTATTTTTATCCTAGTTTATAAATCATCATGGAACTGGTAACATTTTTTTTTAATTTTTAATTATATATAAAGACCTGGCCTAAACAATGGAAAACATAATGTAACTTTTATATTATATTTTGACATATAAAACAAAATAACAAACTACTACGATTTATGTACATACACATTACACCTACTAAAATTCTCAATACAATTCAATTATTTGTTATTTGGCTAGTTAAATTCTCTTTATTTACATATCTAGTATACTTATAGTTTAAAGATTATAAAGATTTGCATTAATCTCTAGACTTGCCTTTGTTCTAAGTATTACAAAAATTGTTGAAAATTCAAATCACTTAGTAAAATGTAAATACGCGTGCTAATTCTTTGTTATGCTTAAGAGGATCGCCTGCTCGGCTCAGCTCAGGAGATAATGTTCGAAGAAGATTAGATTTTAATCTGCTATCATCTTTATGTTATGTTGTCTTTAAGTACCTACTTAGGTCTCATATGACCAATTTTAATTTACTTTTTAATATATAACTAGCGAATGACCGCGGGTTCGCTTGGTTTTTATTTTTTATTTGACTTCATTGAAGATACTGAAATTTAAATAGTATTTCACGTAAAAATCATGTGATACCATTTATCTTTGAAGAAGTAACAACATTTTTTTGTCTTCTCGAGAGTTTTCGAAAACCCTGAATTAATATAAATTTCTTACAAAAATATATTTGTTTAGCAAAATAATTACTAAATAATAAGTTCCATTTTATATTTTACACAATTTTTTCTGGTTTTAGTATCGAGTGACGGTCGGACGGACGGTGGTACGTCCCCCTGTTGATGCAATTAAAGCTGCGACTCCGGCCACAAGTGAGATGTATAGACATTATTAATCCTCGAGACGGATCCTCTTCCTGCGCTTTGTCTGTCAACACGTCGCGTTGTTGTGTGACAATTTTTGGTTATGTTCTGTCGTACGTACAATATGAGGCGAGTTTATTGTAATTCGTTTCTGGCTTATTAAAATAACTTATGTAACTTATTAAAAAAAATTATGAATCAAATATAAAAGA